TTTTCTAAATCCAGGTCTTCTCACATTTCATTCTAATACTTGATTTTGTCTTCTTGAGCTGCCCTCTGAAATGTTCTGTTCAGCTCTTCTGACCTCCTCATTTCTTCCTCGCACCTTAGCATCTCTGTGCAGGAGAATGGACTCCTGGTGTGGTGCTGGAGGGTCAGCACTGGACTGCAAAGCACGAGGTTTCTATTTTTGTAAATTTGAATATTTCAAAGACTGAGTAGATTTTCTGGAGTAAATGTTTTTCATGTGCTGCATGCACTTAGGCCCATTTCCAGAGATTTTTAAGAAAATAATCTTCATCAGTTGTGCAGGAGCAAAGATCCACATACTTCCTCACATTGGCACCCTCGAAGTCTCCAAATTGTGCTTTGTGAGGGTTTACTCTTTTCTCCCTTATAAAAGAAAAAGTTAACCTTTCATTAAGATTTTGGTATGTTGAATTTTCTGTAACTATAACAAGTCATGTTTGATTGGTATACACTCAGTTTTTGATGAGGTGTCCAATTCTGGCCAAAGCAGGCTATGCAATCCTAATTTCTTAAATGATGGCAAGCAAGGATCAATGTGTTCTGAAGTGATTGGCCAAAGATGTCATAAAAATTACTCCAACTTTCTGTTCTAACATCTTAAGATCAGTTTTCTAAAGCCGTTAGTCTAGTCAAGATAACTAAAGATCACTTGTGGCTATAATATTTATCTTGTAAATATGGGGTCCAGTCAGTTTTTGGGGAAAGTTCTGTGGAACTTTGCTAATTTTCTTAGCTCCCATTCCCTTGTTATCTTTGTAAAAGTCACTTGTGATTATAAACTTAGGCATATATTTTCAAGAGCTTCCATACCTTCTTGAGATGACTTCCTTCTTAAGGACCTGATCATGCAAACCATTTCTCGGAGTACATTCTATTTTGTAAAGATTTAAAGTACACATCTTAATATGTTAATTCATATTCTTCTTCTACATGGGATGTTCTTTGCCTCGCTTCTGCTCCCACCCCTTTTCTGTTAATGACCTATTCATTTTTCAAAACTCATCACACACCATTTGGTGAGTAGCAACTGGGATCTCAAAAGCTCATGTGCAACCATCTAAGGTACAACTATTGGTCTCTCCCAATCCAGAGGAAAGAAGAGTGATGAAAATTAAAGACATTTGGAAACAATTAGTCCAATGGACCACCTGAACATCAGTCTCCTTGACTGTGAGACCAGAAGATAGCTGGCTACCACTAACAAGTGCTCAGAAAGGGATCACATTAAAAGATGCTAGATAGAATGGGAGAAAATGTGGAACAAAATTCAAACTTATAAAAAAAAATACCAGACTTGCTGGTCAGATAGAGACTGGTGAACTCTTAAGACTGTGGCCATTGGTCACCCTTCAATTCTGGAACTGAATTCTCCTCTGTGACTCAATTTTCAGCAAAACAGTAGGTAGGTATAAAGAGGGGACAACAGCACTAGTGAGGTACCCACACCATAGAATGATCAGCCATTCAAGAACAAAAGGTTAGCATTTCCCTAAGGAAAAAATTCACAAGAGTGGGGAAAGATGGAGGAATGGAAACAAGGAGCTTAGGGAGAAAGTGGGACACGTGATTTCCACTGAGGAGACTGCAATGGAGATGAAGTGTATATGTGTAATGTGTAAAACTTTCAATCAATTCACAATAAAAAGTTAAAAAGAGATGATCCTCTGACTTAGCTTTCTTAAAGTCACCTATTCTAGAACAGATGCCTAAAGAATGCCCATCTTTACAATTCTTGCCTTGAAATATAGAATATAGTTTCGGATCAATTATCTGGGGAATCTAATGATGAAGATGTGGAAAAGGAAAGGAAGAGAATCCTGGAGATGCCTCCAGAGGTGCTGGATTCCACAGTGCTTATTAAGGAACTCATAAAGGTAATGTCACTCAGTGGTCAACACTAGCAGGCTTCTTCCCTGCTTAGCATATCACTGGTTGTAAGGGTTCATTGTGGTTCTTTGGGATGGATGTGTAGCCTCCAAATAGATGAGAGGGCATAAAAAAATTCATGGAAAAATGGAATTAAAAGATAGTGGAATTTTTCCCCAGGCTTTTTATATTCACAGAACTTTTGTGCAATTGCCCTTGATTAAGTGCCTTTGAGAAACTGCCCTAGGTATGTAGGGATCTAGGTACTGATTGTGTTTGACCTGTGGGCAGTCTTCACTTAATTGTTGTGTTTTCTGGATTTTTAGATATATTTTAAATGTCCAGCCATTTTGGCTGTTAAAAATATCTCCCTTTCAATAAAAAAAGGGGAGTGCTTTGGATTGCTTGGATTCAATGGAGCAGGAAAAACCACTACCTTCCAGATGCTGACTGGGGAAACGATTGCAACCTCTGGGGATGTGTTCATTGATGGCTTTAGCATCAGTAAAAATATCCAAAAGGTAAGACACTGTTACTGCCTAAGGTGCAAGAAGGATGAGGATTTAGGAGGTGCAGTTAAAAGGTAGGAGGCTGGAGATCATTGGTAGGAAGCAACATAGGCATTAATATTGATACTACTGATTCAATCAGTGAATTCCGAAGTGAGAATTTTTTAGAAAAAATGTTGAGAACATCCCTTCCATGAGAAGCTAGGATGAGAATGTATTTTGTGTTCTTTGAAACTGGTGGAATAAGAGTCAAGTTCTCTCAATAGTGTATATAACATATGCCAGACAAGGTTATGTAAGGATGTGAGGAAGACAAGAATTAGCAGGAGAAACTGACCTGCATTTCAGTTGCAACCAGAATTGTGAAGCAGTTCATTCTAGTTCAGTCCTCCTCAATGAGAATTTGCATTTTCATCCCAGATACGCTGAATCAGAATCTATAGTTTAACAAGATTCCCAGGTGGTTCTTATGCATACTTAAGCTCTTCAGGTCATGACCTGGGGATCTTGTTAAACTGTAGATTCTAATTCAGTACTGTTATCTGTGGTAGTTGTTGTTGTTAAGTTCCCTCAAGTTGGTTCTGACCCAGAGCAACCCTATATAGCGTTTTCAAGGAGCAGCTGGTGAGCTTGAATTGCCAACATTGCAGTTCAAATGACCTTGCAGTCCAGTGCATTAACCCACAGTGTCACACCAGGACTCCTAAACGGTTATATACATGATCTATCTATCTACACACACACACACACACACACACATATATATGACTCCTAAACAGTTATATATACTGATTATATATATATTCAAAGTCAGTGGTTCAAGTTCACCAGCTGCTCCTCAGAAACCCTATACAAGGTCGCTATGGGTTGGAATCAACTCGACAGCACTTAACAACAACAATATATATTATATGTATATATATACACACACATAAAACCAGGAGTCCTCAACAGTTATATGTATATCTATAGATATATAGATAGATAGATATCTCCGGGACTCCTGATGTGGCAGTATGGGTTAGTGTGCTGGACTGCAAAATTGGTTTGAACCTCAAGGCCGGTGGTTCAAGCTCACCACTCACTCTTCAGAAACCCTTTACAGGGTCACTATGTGTCAGAACTGACTCTGTGGCACTCAACAGCAACATATATATATAACAGTTATGGTGGTGGTTATGTGCCGTGGAGTCGGTTCCGACTCACAGGATTTCCGAGGCTGTAAATCTTTACAGGAACAGAAAGCCTTATCTTTCTCCCACGGAACAGCTGGTAGTTTCCAACTGCTGACCTTAAAGTTTGCAGCTCAATATAGATTACTATAAATTAATGAATTAAATTAAATGCATAACCTTTTCTGTGGCTATGTAAGCTTGGTGCACCTGAATGCAAATCCATAGAATGGCTGAGCTAATTGCTAAAGCAACATTTCTTTTAGTTTCCTGGCATGGAATTAGGGGAAAGCTTTTGTTCTCATTCTGCATAAAGATGAAACAAGAGCTACATGTGTTGTACAGTGCAAAATTACTTATGCAGTTCCTGATTAGTGACAAAAGTATCCTATGTTAGATGCTTCCAAATTGAGTGGACTCTGGGATTCCATTTCTAACTTCTTCACTAAGATCATCAAAACTAAGTTAGAGAAACTTACTCCAGTTTACTTCAATGAGCTGCATTGCCTGAAATGTAGTCATTAAAATGTAGAAAGTCACTCTTGGTAGGACTCTAAGATACGTAGCCTGAAGGACTGTAGGTCTTCTAACTCATGCATGATGTTCTGTGAGTTAGCAGGACATGGTTCCTTATTTAAGGTAGTTCTCTTAATCAGGTGAGATCAAGAATTGGCTATTGTCCTCAAACTGATGCCTTGTTGGACTACATGACTGGTAGAGAAATAATGATCATGTATGCCAGAATATGGGGGATCTCTGAGCCCCAGATTCCCCTCTATGTGAGCAACTGGTTGAACTCATTACAACTGGACCCCATTGCTGACAAGCCTATGTACACTTACAGGTGAGGCATTTTGTTGGTCTCCTTTTGTTAGTTAGTACTCCTTATGTTGAGGCGCCTCCTCTAATCCTGGAGTTTGAAATGAATGCCCACAGCTCTGCCCAACCTCGCTGTCACACTATTATTCAATTGTTATTTTATCTAGTGCCCTGCTTGATTCAACTACCCGTAATAAGGTAAATCAATGTATTTACCTTTGCAGAGATGAAACTCAAAATTCTAGTGATTTCTGAACTGCAGCCTTTGAACCTAAAAGAAAGCATCTTCCTCCTTTGCTCCCTGTAGTTATTTGTCTCCCAAGTAAGGACTGTGAGGCACTTTCAATGACAGTAGTTCTTAGGCACTCAGGAAACCCACACTCCCCAGTTGTTGTTTGTTAGGTGCCATCAAGTCAGTTCCAACTCATAGTGACCCTGTATAAGGTTTCCTAGGAGTGACTGGTGGATTGCAACCACCAACCTTTCAGGTGGCAGTCCAGTGCTTGTCCTACAGCACCACACCAGGACTGCAGAGACCCCTAAGAACAAGTAAATAAATGCCACCCATAATGATAATGCTGCCACAATCTCTTAAATATAAATCATTCCTCTGCATTTCATATGCAAATGAATGTTCTGATAGGAAAACACACTGGCATTTGGGCCCGCAGTCTCGGAAACCCTATGCAGGGTCGCCATAAGTCAGAACTGACTCCATGGCTCATAACCACCACCACCACTTTGTTAAAGGATTCCTGGTGTAGGTGCTGTAAGATAAGCTCTTGAGCACAGGTTGGTTTGAACTGCAAAGCCGGTGGTTCAGACTCACCAGCTGTTCCTTGAAAACCCTATACAGAGTTGCTACATGTCAGAACCGACTCCATGGCACTTAACAACCACCTTGTTAAAGTCACATCTAATCAGCCTTGTTGCTGCCCTTATTGAGTGTATGCTGGGGCTCTCAGAACTTAGGAAGATTGCCTTAATTCTTTTCTGTAAATAACTAATTTGTATAGCTTCCTCTTTTTCTACCTTTCCTCCTTCCTGGACCGTGCAGTGGAGGAAGCAAACGTAGACTAAGTGCTGCTATTTCATTAATGGGGAAGCCCTCGGTCATCTTCATGGATGAGCCATCAAGTGGCATGGACCCAGTAGCTCGGCGCCTGCTCTGGAACCTGGTAACACAGAAACGTGAAAGTGGCAAAGCCATCATTATAACCTCCCACAGGTGTGGCTCACTGGGATGCTTGGCTGAGGGTTGACGGGAGTTATACTAACAAGAGGAAACTATTTGGGGCTAGGAATATACAATAGTGAAACTTGCTTTAAGTATGTAAGTTCCTCATTAATCTTAATGAATAGAACAGCCAATAATTCTCATTAAGCTCTATAATTAGGATAGGGAGAGGGCAGAAAGTTTGGAAATGTTCCTTTGGATGACTTGGTTGTCTAGTACTTTGCATCTGAAAAGGTTCTACACCCCAGCTATGAGCTTGATGATTGCAAAATACAACTTGCTTTTGCAAAGAGTCCCAGAATCTCCCTGCAGTGTTTGAATTATAGAATGTCCTTCAAAGAAGAGCTTTTAGCCTCACACTGTTCTGGTATCTTGTTGGCTAGTATGGAGGAATGTGAAGCCCTTTGTACCAGGCTGACCATTATGGTGAATGGCAAGTTCGTGTGCTTGGGCAGCCCTCAGCACCTCAAGAACAAGTTTGGCCAGGTTTACATCCTGAAGGCCAAGATCAAGCCTGATACAGGTGAAGACAAATTAGAAGATTTTAAAACTTTCATCTCAACAACCTTTCCAGGTAAATTAAGTTGTGCTACAGTTTTTAGAGATACATTATATCATATTTGGTTTTTTTCACCATCCAAGTTTTTGTTTTATTTTTTATATCGTCAATAATTGTTTTCTGTAATTTATTGCTATTTATTAATCATCTATAATGAATTCCTGATATTATGCTAAGAACTTTAGCAAAATACAAAGGATCTCACCAAGTTCTTGTATCAGTTACTAGCCAACTGTAGACTTATGATGTCATAGAAATTATATGCCTAAAATACTATTTTAGCATAATTCTCCATTATTTACATATATTATCTATGCAAAGTTTTCAGGTTTTGCTCACACTGAGCATATAACTTTGGTCTTAAAGTGTAACCAGTCAGTTGTTTCTTTATCTTCTTGCTAGAATAGTTCTGTTTCCGTGTGCTACATGGTCCAAAGTGCTACATGCAGACAGCTTCTTTCTGTCCCCTACTTTGCTTTTCTAAGCCGACATCAGAGGCATGGCAACACTTAACAATTCTGATTTGTCATCTAAATTTCTACTTTTTTAGGTTGAGCAAAACAGCACAGATCATTTCTATTGTGTATCAGGCAGAGGAGCTGGAGCTTTATCTTGTAGGCAATGGAAGATAGCATGATTGGTTACACAGTGGGAATGGCGAGCATAAAATAGAAAAGAAATGGATGGGAGAGTAGATGTGGAAGGAGCCAACGTGAGGGAAAGATAATGATTATCATGTGCCTGTGATACATAGGAGTCCTGGTGTGGCGCTGTGGGCTAATGCGACAGACTGCCAAGTTGTTTGAACTGCAAAGTTGATGGTTCAAGCTCACCAGCTGCTCCTTGGAAAACCCTATACAGGGTCACTATGGGTCAGAACCGACTCGACGGCACTTCACAATAACAACAACATGATACATACAAGGAGCTCTGGTAGTGTGGTGGTTATGAGTCAGGCTGCTAACCTCAAGGTCAGCGGTTCAAAACTACCAGCCATTCCATGGGAGAAAGATGAGGCTTTCTGCTCCTGGAAAGATTTACAGCCTTGGAAACCCTACAAAGGGTTACTATGAGTCAGAACTGACTCCACGATACACCACCACCAAGACCACCATGATACATATGGGCTCCTGGTGTGGTGCTGTAGGATCAGCGCTAGACTGAGAACCATAAGGCCAACAGTTCAAACCCACCAGCTATTCCTAGAAACCCTACATGGGGTCAGAGTCGGAATCGACTCGTCGGCACTTAATAACAACAACAATGAAACATGCAGATAGAAGTTGAATGTTTTTCTATCCAGTCATTTGGCAAATATTTTTGAGTGTTTATTGTATCTGTGTTCTAGTTTATGTGGTACCTAGGCTGTGGCCAGAAAATGCTCATATACTATGAGTTGTACAGCTTGCTCTACTTAAAAGATAAACTAGTAAATAATAACCGGAGACCTAGCCTCAGGGATGTGGACACCCTGCCTTCATAGGCATTCCCAACTGTAAGGGTATGGGTGCCCAGTCTGTCCTCACTTAGTTGTTGTTGTTGTTGTTAGGTGCCATTGGGTTGGTACCGACTCATAGCAAACGGGTGCACAACAAAATGAAACACTGCCCGGTCCTGGGCCAACCTCACAATTGTTGCCATGCTTGAGCCCATTGATGCTGCCACTTTGCCAATCCTTCTCACTGGGGGTCTTCCTCCTTTTCTCTGACCCTCCATCTTACCAAACATGAAATCCTTCTCCAGCGACTGGTCTGAAGTATGAGAGACGAAGTTAGGCCATCCTGGTCTCCAAGGAGCACTCTGGCTGTACTTCTTCTAACACAGATCTATTGGTTCTTTTGGCAGCCCATGGCATTTTCAATATTCTCCTCCAACACCATAACTCAAATGCATCAATTCTTCTATGGTCTTCTTTATTCACTGACCAGCTTTCACACATATATGAGGTGATTGAAAATACCATGCTTGGGTGAGGCACACCTTAGTCCTCGCGTTGACATCTTTTCTCTTCAACATTTTAAAAAGGTCTTGTGGAGCAGATTTGCCTAATGCAATATGTCATTAGATTTCTTGACTGCTGCTTCTATGAATGTTGATGGTTGATAAAAGAAGAATGAAGTCTTTGACAACTTCAATTTTCTCTCCTTTGATAAGAATGTTGTTTTTGGTCCAGTGGTGAGGATTTTTGTTTTCTTTACATTGAAATGCAATCCATACCGAAGGCTGTTCTCTTTGATCTTCATCAGTAAATGTTTTAGTGAAGTCCTCTTCACTTTCAGCAAGCAAGGTTGTATCATCTGCATATTGCAAGTTGTTAATGAGTCTTCCTCCAATCCTGATGCCGTGTTTTTATCTTCTCAGGTGATTTTCTCAGCATACAGGTTGAATAAGTATGGTGAAAGAATACAACCCTGTCGCACACCTTTCTTCATTTTAAACCATTCAGTGTTCCCAGGTTCTGTTCAAACAACTGCCTCTCGGTCCATGTACAGATTCCTTATGAGCACAATTAAGTGTTCCAGAATAC